GTTCAATCATGGACACCAAAAGGGCCAATGCCATCGATACACCACTGATAATAAAGAGACCTCGAAGCCCATAAAGATTCAAGATTTTTGGTGACGGGGAAGAAAATTCCTTTGACATCACTGCAGATTTATGTTTCAACCATTTATCCTCTAATGCTTTCAGTGTCCCGTCTTCACGCATTTTCGCTATCTGTGTCGACATCTCTGTGGCCAAAGGTGAACCTTTCTGGAACACCTGCAAACGTAGAGCTAAATGAGACATGGAAACGGAATCAAGGCAGAGTTATGGAAGAAGCCGAAAGGATTAGAGAAAACTCACAAAGCCAAAACCGTTGGTGGTAGGTGCTGTTGCAATCAAGGAGAAATCAGAACCCGAATACATTGCAAGAAATGATTTGATGTAAAGGATCTCAGCAACGATTGCTTCAACTTTTCCAGTTGTTAACGCTTTAGCATAGTCCTCAGGTGCATATAGTTTCTCTGACCAGGCCTCAACAGCATTCAATTTGTTATTGACAACGCCTAAAGGGGAAAGACCATGGAAGAATCCGGTGGAGATCTCCTTCATTCCAATCTGTTGTACTGTTAAAACTGAACTCAAAGTTGCAGTGTAACTTGACGTGAGCACAAGCACTACGAAAACCCAAACAGTAACCACGAATCTTGATAGATTACTTTGCAGCTTCTCCCCTGTAGTTTTCAATTACCAACTCATTTTCCCAACAGATCTATGGTATAGATTTTATGGGTGCTCAAGAAGATCAAATATTTAAGTAAATTGAGATTAGAGTGTAAAGAGTTGGAGAGCTTACTGTGAGCATAAACGAGGGTTGAAAAGGCAAACCAGAGGGTTGTTCCCAGTTGCTGTGGTGCTGAACCTCGAAATTCTTCATTTGTACGATGTTCGATAAACCAAATCACAAACCCTAAAAAGATAAAGAAACAAGAAGTTGTGATCCAAAGATTTGCACTGAGAGGATCTAAGAAAATCCACATGCTGTCCTTGGCGTTGCGGGATATTATGCCAACTCCAAGATCAGTGAAGGGCAATGTGAAGTCAACATAGAGAGATCTATTTGATGTGATTGTAAAATCACCGATAGCAGCATCATATTCCTGATACAACCCCACATCTCATGCATTAGCTAAAAGCCTCTATCTGATCTCCATGCTGTTCTACAAATAATATGACAAAGAGCCTTTTAATGCTGCAGGTTTGTGCAAAAAGACACATACGTACCTTAAGATAGATTTTTTTGATCACATCATTGTAAGTAATTCCATCCTTATAAGAGAACGAAACAACCTCAATGCCGACTCCATAGTCTAAGGAGTTAAACGCAGCATTGAAGACATCCCCACAGAACCCGCTCAAAACCGATACATTTGTTCTTGGATCAACACTTATTTGTGCTAAATTCTGGAATCTGCTGGAACCTGGAAACAGAATTCTCAGCTTCTTTTTGCCATTTGTTTGTAGCATCCTGCGTTTTGGATTAATGCCTGTGGTCCCACCTGGCCAGATGATAATTTCAAGGCCTTGATTCGAAGAGGAATTTGGTTTCTTTATTTCTTTCACAAACTCATCAGTAGCCGTCATCCAGAACCCAACCCTCCTATCACCCTTACCGATCACATTCACCACTTCCATGGCATTGGAGATGATCCTCCCATTCATAAGCTTGAATTCACCACCTAAACCATGGAAGGTGACTCTTAACATCTCATCCAAAAGCAGTGATGTGCCAATATTGGTACCCAAGTCTTTCGAAGTGAGTTCTGTTGCAGTATGTACCCTCTCAACAGCCATGGCAAGTGCGTAAACTGCATCATATGCCCATATACCATTGGAATCTACCTCCTTAAACTCCATAAAAGGGTTCAAAGCATAATATTCCTTTCTCCATCTTGAAACAAAGCTGTGAAGCTCTCTTGATGCTGAAAAATATGATCTGAAACCAACAACCCCCTGCATTGATTCGATTGCTTCAGTATCCATGGAATCCAACAAGTCCATAGTCTTACTTGTTACAATCCACATGTATCCTTCACCCATCATTCCCATCTCTTTTGCAATGGAGAAAAGATTGGATGCTAGAGAAGGTGGTGTATGCACTATAAACACCGTGTCTTGCATAGTTTGAAGCTTATGAAGCTCTTCCCGGACATGTTGGTTGCTGTCAGATGTTGAAATTAGGCTAGTATACGTAACGTGTATGTTTTTCTCTTGAAACACTCTGGCCATATAAGTAGCCATTTCTCTCCCATTGGCAGTGTCCTCGCAGATAACAAGCACATTCTTTGCTTTAAAGGAATCTACCATGGCAGCAATGCCTTTGAACTGACTGGTTTCATCCTGTGCGATTCCAAGAAGATTAGGATTCCTATTTGAAAAGGGACTTGTTGACAAGGAAAGAATTGGTATGTTAGCTTTGTCTTCCAGAACTGTTGATTCGGGACCTATTATGGCTTGCACTTTAGTGTTCTCCAATAGATCCAGAGCTGAATGTCCATGAACAGTATATTAACATTTAAAATTGAAAGTTTTCCAAAAAAAATAAAAAAAATAAAAATAAAAAGACAGTACTAGCAGACAAGGCACGCAGTGGTTCTCCTTTGGTATCCCTGGTTGTAAAAGCTATTCTTGTTGTGTAGTGAGGATTGGCTGTGTAAAAGTCAGAAATAGCCATGCTGATGCAACGTATAACGACCTTCCCTGTCCATGATTCCATGTCAAGAATCACTCCCACTTGTACTTCCCTGTAAGACGGATCTTCATGTGCTGTTGAAAGGCTTTGAAAGCTAAGCAACATCAAGATTAGAAATGGAAATAACCTGAAATTCATCATTAATTGGCAAGTTTTTAGTAATATCAAAATGACACAGTAACACTTTTAGTAGGTAGGTGGGGAAAGAAAGAAAATGGAGTCCTGTCGACTTAAACAAGAACATGAACAAACATAAGTAATATATGAGAGCTCATTAGTTGACTTTTAAGTTTGAGTTACGCAGCCATGAAAATATTGACATTGATTAAATTAAAACCTGGTCAGTGTTCTTTAGTCTGAACTGTTGAATAGGAACAAAAGTCTACTGATTTGGTCAGACCTATCAGCATCAATGGGAACCTGCAAATTAAACGGTCAATATCTGGTAGAAATAATTTTCTTTTCCATATAATTAAAAACTATATTACCAAAAATAAGTGAAACTTTACAATAGTAATTTAGACACTTTCTTGACAGCGAAGATCAGTGCATGATGAAAATAAGAGAAGTCAGGGGACTGTAGTGGCCTGGCCAAAATGAGAAATCTTCTCTTGAGCCAACAAATTCATAGGCACAAAGAAGAAATCTTACTCAAATCATGAGCAATATCTGTACAATCCTTAATGCATGAGTACAAGTTCATATATAGCAGCAGCATTGTCTTTGTTAGCTTGTTATAAAAACTGTGATTCCAAGTATCATAGTAGCATTATTTTCTTTGTTAGCTCGTTACAACCAAATAAAACTTGATAAAATCTAAATCATATCAAAAAACTCTCTATCTTGTCATAATCTTTATCAGGCATTTCATAGAACAGTTGCTTCGCATCTCTAAACTGGCCACTAACCTCGATCAACACCAGTAAAACAAGAACATTATGAGTTATAATCTCCTTGAGGCATTTCATAAATCAGTTTCTTGGGATGTACTTCTATATTGTTTGCGTCCTAAACAGAAAGAGGATATCCATATAATAAGGTTAAGTTGGGCATAATGATCTAATTGGATGAAAAGGATTAAGGGACACAAGTTGGCCACAAATAGGGTAGTGCTTGTTTTGATATACACAGTTGACCTTCATGACATTAAGACATGCGGATAACTAATTCGCCAAGTATCACCTTGTGATGATTATGTGATATAATAGTTGAATGTCAATTTTGAACGAAAACATATCTGACATGTCACACCAAAACAAGTGATTATAAATTTGTTTGTTTTTACAGAAATTAAACAATAAAACTTATTACAAATTTCCATGGCACGAACAAAGTATATCATAATTAACTAGAATGGTGAATTAAAAAAGGCCCAAATAATGACTTCACCTACTTAACATAGTAAAGAAGGTCAAGAACATAAAGAAGGAAATAAGCCCAAGTCAACCATGGGTTGTTTGAAGTTGGTCAGGTTGTTTCTTCCTCCCCATCAAAGTCAACGCCCAAACGGGGTGTGGGACCCACGCCCAAACTAGTTAGTAAATGTGATGTAATCAAGAAGGTGGGGTCCATAATCAAAAGCAATATTCATGGCTATCATACTGCCACTACCCAATCAAAGCATTAGTTAAATACTTAGTGTCAAGTTCCAACACCTGTCTCAATCATGGTTTCCCACCACTTATTAACAACTTTTAAACAGCATATAAATTTAGAAACAACAAACTGTCAACGGCAAGCTGCATTATGAAGGTTACAGGTAACCTTCAATGCTTTTCTTCTTCTTCAAAACTAGTGACATACTCAATGAACTTAATTAGCAGCCTGGAAAGGTCAAAAATAGAAACTAGATTTAGTCAACACTAGTTTTGCATTAGTACAACTTAATTAGTTCTTGACTAATGACTAGTCAACCAGAGTCTAATTACCTTCTCATATCGCTTCACAGGTTTCAAATATTTACCGGCTTTAAAGAACACATTACCCTCTTCCTTCTTTTTTTTCCAGCAGCCTTCATCTTCTCTTGAGTCTTGAGCCATGTTCATGTCCCCTTTCTTCTTTGTTTTTACAGCCTTAAGCAGAGTAGGGCAGAAATGAAGTGATTGAAAATAAATACACATCAGCAACATGCATTCAAAAAAAGATTGTAAAGCCACAAGGGAAAAAGACTGTGTGTAAAAGTTACCATGCAGCTTCTACTTTCAACTCCACTCCATCTGATTATGCAAATAGAGTACCATCCTCAAGTCGCCATGATTAGCAAAGAGAGCAAGTCAAATCAGCTTTCAGAATGCAACAACGGCCAACTGTTGTGATCCAGTTGTAGAAAGGGTGGAGGTTTAATACAAACAATTGCAAAGCTAAAAATGAAGTGACAGTTTTTGAACCTCATAATTGACTACATCTAAAAAAAACAAGTATAGAAAGGAATGTTTGAAACATGATCAACAAGATGTTAAACATTCAACATTGATTAAAAAAACTACACGACTAAAAGGAGAAATTGGAGAGATAAACAAGTTTACTAATGAATCTTCATATGCCTGAGCCTAGAAGCTAGAAAGGAATAAACATAGAGAAGATGAATGGCATAGTTGTAGTTGTTGTTTGGTTTGGATCATCTTGTTTCAACCACCGGTTTAGGGTTGAGAATCCTCATTATGAATGCAAGTTTTCCTCCAGCCAGCATTGTGTATGTGAAATGCAGTTTCTCATGAATAAAATAAAACAAGAATATGGAAAGGGCCACAGCCATTGAGACTCCACTAATAAGAAACAGACCACGACAGTCTTTCAGGTTTAGAATCTTTGAAGCATGCTCGGAATCCTTTGACTGTTGATTTGATTTAAAACAGTACTTCTTCTCCAACTTTGCTAAGCTCCCATTTTCTCGTAGTCTGGAAATCTGTCTTGATAACTCAGGGACCAAGGGTGAACCTAACGGGAATACCTGCACATGATGAATTACAGATAGAGTTGTTTACCTACAAACTTAAATAAACGGTATAACTAGTAAGTGTAGTGAGGAGAGGACACTCACAAAGCCAAAACCACTAGTGGTGACTTCAGACACAACCATGGAGTAGCCAGATGGATACTGAGCTAGGAATCCCTTCAGGTATGGAATTTCATCAATAATTGCATCAACACCACCATTCTTGCTCCCGTGTGATAAAGCATCAACATATTCATCTGTTGTATAATATGGCTTTAACCGGGTGTCTTTAAAATTCAAATTCCTAACAATATCTCCCATCACAAAGGAACCACCTTGGTATCCAATTGAGTCTCTGTTTGATGCTAACCGAATTTGTTCAATGGTGAATAGTGAACTCAAGGTTGCAGGGTAGCTTGAAGCAAGTACCAGCACTACAAACAACCACACAATCACTACAAATCTTGACAAATTACTATGCAGCTTCTGCCCTGCAATTTTCAACCACCAACTTAAGTTTGACTTTTTGTCCAATTTAAGTTTAGTTTACCAAAATAGAAAGTTTTTGTATCTTTTATCTCATGTGAATACAAAAGTCTCTTAGACAACAGTGAAAAAACTAAAACGAGATGTGAGTGAGAGCTTACTATGAGCAAAAACAAGGGTCGAAAAGGCAAACCATAAAGTTGTTCCAATCTGTTGTGATGATGAGTCTTGAAACTCTTTATTTGTCTGATGTTCAAGAATCCAAATGACAAAACCGAGTAATATAAAGAAACAAGCAGACACAAGCCACAGATCTGAACTCAGTGGTTCCATAAAGATCCACATGCCTGCATGGGTGTTTCGAGACAACATTCCAAGGCCAAGATCAGTAAATGACTGTGTAAAGTCAACATATAGACTTCTGTTTGCCGTGATTGTTATATCTCCAACTGCAGCATCAAATTCCTGGTGTAAATAAAAAGGGTTAATGATGTAATAAGGTAAGGTAACAAACTATCTCAAGTGTTTTAAAAACACCATTAAATATAAGTTATGTTACATAATCCACAATTTAATGGTCATAACTTTTTTTAACATTATGAATGTTGTAAGTTGTAACATAATATTTGGTCTTAAAAAGAGACTGATATTGTTGTGTAATTATTAAGATTAATAAATTTCATGTAGTTTTAGATAATAAACAAGTGCTAATTTTTTTTTTTTTAAAGTGATTGTATATCAAATTATGCACTAAAAAAGCTATGTAAAAGTAATGAACTATTTAAAGTGTTTTAAAAATACTAGTGAACAAAAAAAGACAAAAATATAACAAACTATAACTTTTTGTTTTTAATTACTTATGTAAACGGGAAAAGGCCTATTACCGATCCCATAGGTAATTTACTAATTTAAAAACAAAAGTTAAAGTTGGTTACCTTTTGACAATGTTTTTTTTTTTTTTAATTTAATAGTATTCTTAAAATACTTTAAGTAGTTCGTTACCATATTATGTCATCAATCCAAATAAAACATATTAAAATGCTTTTCCTATGCATAGAACAAAGAATAATAGGTTCAAAAAGATGCATACCCCAGTATAGACTCGATATATAAGATCGTTGTAATTTACTATTCCATCTTCTCCAGTAAATGGAAAGAATTGAAAGGATATGTCACGACCTAATCCTTTGAAGGCGATTCGGAATACGTCTGCACAAAACCCTGAAACGACTGTCGCATTGCTTTGAGCGTCGTATTTCACTTGAGAAGCTTTTGACACTCCAAGTACCCCTGGAATGCCAATTCTGAGGATTTTGCTACTCACTTGTAGTTGTAGCATCCTATGTGTTTGTGATGGATTACCTCCTTTAGCTTTAGGCCAGATGATGGCTTCCAGACCCTCATCAGAAAGTGATTTATTCAACCTACCTATCTTTTTGGTGAAACCAGCATCCCTTGTCCAAAATCCAACCCTCTTTTCTCCTTTATCCATCACATTTATTATTTCGATGACTTGTGCAGCATTGATTTCCCCATTCCCATTTGTAAGTTGGAAAGCACCACCTAAACCATGAAATGAGATGCTTAACATCTCATTCAGAAGAAGTGTTGTGCCCCTTTGGCTTTGAGTCAGGTCACTAGCAGTTGTTTCCACATCTTTTCTCTTCAGTTGTTCAACTTGCTCTACAGCCACTGCTAGAGCTGAAACTGCACCGTACACCCAAAGAGCATAACTATTTATCTCCTTCAGCTTCACCATCACATGATATTTCCTTCTCCATCTAGAAGTGAAATTTTGAACATTTCTTGATTGTGGAACGTATGATTTAAAACCCACTGCCCCTTGCATACACTCAATAACTTCATCCTCCAGCAAATTCAGAAACTTCATAGTCTTACCGGTGATAATCCATTTGTATCCTTTATCCATCATGCCTAGATGCTTTGCATTCACCAAAAGGTGGGATGCAACACAAGGGGAAGCATGCATGATGAATACTTTTGTCTGCATAGTCGACAGCTTGTGAAGCTCTTCCTGGAGTAGTTCATTGCTAGAAGAGGTTGAAATTAGGCTCCTATGTGTTACAAGTATGCTCTTTGTTTGGAGAGTATTTGTCATATCTCTTCCACTATCACTGTCCTCACAGATAAGGATAACTTCCTTCCATCTAAAGGATTCAGCCATTGCAGCAATCCCTTCAAATTGACTGGTTTCATCTTGTGTAACTTGAAGGAAATAAGGATGCTTGTTGCAAGATAGACATGGTGAAAGTGAAAGAATGGGCACTCTAGCATTGTCTCCCAATACTGCCAGCAACTTTGCTTCGGCTGTTGACTCTGAACCTATGATTGCTTCCACTTTCGGCTTCTCCAAAAGATCAAGAGCTGGTGGGGACAAAATACAGTTATAAACAAGTGAATTAAAACAATGAAATAATATCCAAAGGAAACATCTTCATTGAAATTGAACATGTTGTGAAAGACGTGAATTAACAAATTTGTATGACAAGTGAAGGCCTTTCATGTGTTGTACTCTTCACATGCTTTTTGGTATTTACTTTTTATCTTGTTACATGACGTGTTGCAAATGAAGTCTGAGATAGTTTAATTATAGTTATCTACATGGTAAGACTTACCAGCAGAGAGAGCATGCAATGGGTATCCCTACGGTGAACAACTATCCTTGTTTGGAAGTGAGGGTTGACCATGTAAAACTCAGACACTGCCATGGTGATGCAGCTCTGAACACTCCTTCCAACCCCAGAATATGAATATGATGATCCCATATCCAGAATCACTCCCACTGGGATCTCCTTGTAGGCTGGATCTTCTTGTGCTTTTCTATTTATCTGCAAGCAGAGCAACATCAACATTAAAAGATGAAAAGCGCATTCTCTCCCTGCTACTTATCTTCATTATTGAATGGTAAAAAATGCTCATGTTGCTGCAAGTATGAAAAATAAGCTTTGCTCTTTTCTCTATATTCTATTCATCTTGTATGTTCTTCACTCTTTTTATTGATTAAAATCATAACAAGAGCTTCAGCCAATCAGTTGACTCAATATACTTCCCCACGCATACATCATTCAAGTGTTTAAACAAAAGATTTCTCTGTTCAAATATTATATCTCCTAAATTTAAATAATTACAACAGGGAAAGGTGTGCGATATTTTAGTGGATGAAGAAGAAGGGTAATCAGTCTTATCAAGAAGAATTCAAATATCACAACTACCTGGAAATTTCTTTGGTGAATTTAAGTATAAGCAGTCAACGTGATCATATATGATCAAAACGTAAAGATCATTAAGAATGTAATCAAATATATAAATAAATCAAAATGTCAACCAGACATGCATCCTTCAACAAGATTTTCTTATGAGTTTCTTTCTGAAAGCTGAGAAGCAATCTTTTGACTGAACCGAATAAGAACCCACTCATCTTCTCTGGGACTATAGTATACTATATATGTTCAGTTGAGCAACTTCATTGAAGACAATATTTTATGAATTATGGGAGACAATAAAATGATAAGGGTGAAAAGTAGTAGGAGATCAAATTAAGATGACTTATACCTGACCCAAGACGAGACATAATCTCCATCAGGCAATTCATCGAACACTTGATTTGCATCTCTGAGTTTCGGCATTCCCATGTAAAACCAGAACTTATAGAACCCATATTTGCCCTTAACGCTGAAGACTGATAAAATGCAATTTTGCTTTCATCTACTATACGATGTGGGGCAAAACCTTTTGAAGAATTTGTCAGGAACAAAAGGACCAGAAAGAGAGTCACAAAGTAAAAGCCAGTACAGATTAGATCTTCTTAATAGATATACATGGAGATTGTTGAATGAAACAAGAAAATAAACTTGAGGTTTTAATTTTAGAGCAACTAATTAAAGAAAGATTTAGTTGCGCCTTTCAGACATTTCATCAAACGGTTGCTTTGCATCTCAAAAATGGTATCAAAAAAAGGTTAAATTGTCTGTCAGACAACCATGTAGCCATGCCAAGACCATCAAGATGGACTGGCAACGATCATCTACTGAGCCATGGCCGGAACCATGAGAAACTCTGTTAATCACGCTCTGGTTACATGGTCGTGGTTCATCAACCAGACATGGGTTTCTGTCTTCTTAGGAATCAAGAATACAGAGGTACGAGCCTATAGAACAGATCCTGTTCAAGTAAGGTCGTGCTTCTTCCTCTCTCCGCAGCTAATATATAGTCGATTACATTGCTACTTTGCGCGGATGTGGGATGGAGCTTTTACATTTTTGCGTCCGGCGACTGGGTAAGAAATTATAATTACCTTGGCTTTGACCTTAATACGACAGCTCTGTTTTGCCTCGTTTGTTGAGGTTCTCCGCCACTAATTAAGATCAGTAATAATGCTTTTTATTTTTTCATATTGTTTGGATGGATTTTAGTTATAGAAAATCGTTTTACCAAGCTCAACTATTCTTTTATAGGACACCGCCTTTTGTTATTGTTTGTTTTTATATAAATTTGACAGTTCAATCTTCTTGTCAAAGACTAATAATCATATTTTTTAAACTTTTTTGGTTATATATGCAGAAAAAAAAAATGTTTTCAGTTGAATAATTCTTTAAGTTTAAGTTCACAGCATTTTTAAAAATTTATTTAGATTAAATGTATAAATAAAAAAAATGCTATAATATCATATGAAATGTATAAAATCGAAGCATACAATATTTCGATGAAATGATATAAACTTCTATGGATACAATTCATACAACTACATATACAATTTAATCAAGCTTAATTACAACTACATGGATTGACTCCATACAGAAACCAACTCTCTTTTCATGCTTCTTCTTCTTATGTGGGTTGAGTTCACATCACCATTTAAACCACCATTCAATATTTTAGTGATTAGTATTATCATTTTTTTTAAATAGCGGAAATTTTATAAAAAACTAGCAAGAAGCTAGAAAAAAGAAGATTAGTTTATCATTTGTATGATGGCCGTTTTGGACATTCAATATACCAAAACCAAGGTATTAAAGAGGACAACATAAAGCCATAAACATTTTTTTTTCATTTCAAGTTTGAACTAGACATACTAAATACTTGAAGGTCGATCTTGAACAAAAACATGACGTGTTGGACAATAATTTGTAGTTCGTTGAGCATGATTCCTGATATATAACAATCTGCTCATTAGATTTTAAATTTCTTTTTGAAAAGTATATTTGTCAAATAAAATCATATCGCTAAGACATAATTGATTATCAGTTTGTTTGTTTTTACTTTTTATAATAATTAAACCATACAGTTATTACAATCTTCCATAAGCACAAGCAAAGTGTATCATAATTTGAGCGATCATGTATATTCATGTATCAATAGGAATTTGAAAAAGCCCAAATAGGATTTCACCTATTTAACATAGTAAGGAAGGTCAAGAACATAAAGAAGGAAAAAAGCCCAAGTGACGCCGGAGATCCCACCAAAAAAGAAGCCACCAGTGAACTTAGCCCAACCATCGGCTGTTTGAAGTTGGTCAGGTTGTTTCTTCCTCCCGGTCAAAGTCAATGATGGTGCAATCGACGGTTCACCTTCTTTGAATGATGCGATTCCATACATAGTCAAGCAAATGCTAAGGATCACCACAAGCCCACCCGCGGCTAGTGATCCTGCTGCACCTGCATACTCTGTGTTCCTTAATGGGCCTGCTTTCACAAATGGGCCCACTAGGAAGAACCCATGGGCTAGCCCGACCTCAATGCCTCGAAGCAATGGGTTCACGGCGGTCCGGTATCCTGGAAGATTTGAGAGGTACCATGCAATTAGTGGGCTCGATGTCACTGGAGTCTCGAGACTTCCAATGAACGGGTCGCCATTGATGGGTTGTACGACTTGGAATGTAGGCTGCATAGTTTTATCGTATTAGCAAAGAGAAAATACAAATAGAACTAGATAAAATATGTGATTATGCCCGATATACTAATTAGTAGATGTTATGTGATTATGCCCGATATACTAATTAGTAGATGTTATGTAACCGAAAGGGTCCGCAAGCCTCTATGACATGAAAACCATAACTAGTTCTAAGTTTTTACTATGGTACTTTCTCATACCTATAGAGAAAAAGACCATTATAACCTTCTATGCAACAAAGGTACTTGTTGTCACTTGACAAAGGTTAAAAGTCGAATTATCTTACTATTCATCAAGGACATGTGATAGAAAATTGGAAGTGGGCAAAAGAATCGATACAAAACAATCAACAATGGGCAATGGCTCATTCGTTATTTCTAGTAAAACAACTAGAACATATGCATTATCTTAAGGAAAAGTATGAAGCATTTGAATAAATTATAATCGGAATCGGCTTTTCATTTACAATACTACGATAAATCTTGAAATTAGTTACTAATTCTCAATAAACCGACAACATGAAAAGTAAAATTTAAAGGCATAACCTTCAGGAAATCATCATATAAGGCAAATACCACCAACTAAAGCATTTGAAATCAATATAGCTCGATTGATAGCTAGTACTGAGCACTGAGCAGATCGTGGATCCCCAACATGGCCATTAAGTAAATTGCCCTATTACAACGTATTATTTCTTAAATAAAATCTTAAAAATCACATAAAAATGAAAAGAAGAAACGACCTTGTCGGTTTTTACTGCCTTGATAGTGGAGGAAGACCTCTGGGAAGAAGGGAAGAGCCTAAGAGGTGAACCAGAAAGGCCTTTGGGTGCAACCGGCCTTGTTGTGGTCAAAGAGGAAGTCAAGCCAGTCTTGAGCTGGAGGCTAGCCATGGTCGATGCTTGTTGTCCCCAATTTCTTCAGTTTTGAATATAACTTATTATGACCATTTACTTCAGAAATTTGTGGGTTTACCTTCAAAGATGATTCATGACACATGGATGGTCCCTATTGGATGATGAATATATGGATGGCTTGCCACCCTTATCCTATATCATTTGGTTGGATTGCGTAGTCTATGGAGGACAACTGTTTGCCATATTTGCTACTTTGTGTTAAATTATAAAGTTTGGTGGTTATTTTGTTTACATAAATTCCTTTTTTATTTCATGTAATATAATAAAAATAAATCTAACTTGAAATATTTTCAAAAGTAAAAGTAATACAAATTTCTTTTGGGCATATTTAATGACGAAAATTGTTTCGGGTTTAATTATCATATAAAATTTAGACAATGTCAAAACATTGGCACATTGTATAAACCCGTTAATATTTTTTGACATATCCCAATAGTTTTTTTAAACAACTAATTTTAATTATCACACTAGTAAGAAGGCAGAGGGGAAAACAAATTACAAAGAATGCAACATATAGCCAGGTTTTGAATCCAATTGACCAAGTTCATGACAATTTTACTATTTCTATTGACAAATCATTTATAAGAATCATCTACTATACTATCAAAAGTCAAATCTTTTCTTCGGGTATTATCAAACACCGTAGAGCTTTGAAATTGCCATAGCACCCACCAAGTAGTTAACATAATTGCTTCCAAAGTCGATTTCTTTTGCATAGACAAATGCAAATCATCTATCCATTGACAAATGTGAGTAACATAATTCCAATTCGGTTGTATTACATCCACCCACTTGAAAATTGCATTTCATGTTCTTGATGCAGTCTCACATTTAACTATAAATGATCTAAAGACTCCTCATGATTACCACACCACATGCACATAATAGAAGAGATGTCCACACCCCGTGTAACACCCCGACTCCCAGGTATAAACTTTATAGTTTTATTTTCATTTTGGAAGGTCTACTCGACGAGTTGGATGCCTTGACTCATCGAGTAGGAATGAGTTTGCCCGCGTGGATTATTGGATCTACTCGACGAGTCGGGGGACCTGTACTCGACGAGTAGGAGCTGGGAGAGAAAACCCTAAATTTTAGGGTTTGCATCCTATTTAAAGGACCTTAAGTCCCTTCCCCCATTCCTTTACCACCCCCTTGACGGCTAAGAGAAACCCTAATCGCTATTAACCTTGTTCTTGAGTGATTGTGAGGCTTAAAGAGTGATTTTGGTGCATTTTGTGAAGGAGGTGTGAAGTATAAGAAGCTTGGAGCAAAGAGGAGCTTGTGGATCTGACTCTACTTCACCTTGGCATCATTTTGGAGGTAACAAGTCGTTACCTTGGCCTATCTTTAGCTAGATCTCTTCATGTTTGGGTTTAGGGCCATCTTTAGCACATTTGGTAGTCATTTCGAGTATTGGGGCAAGATCTGAAGTTGTAACTTCGGATCTGGAATCCCCTTGGTCCTTATAGCTATAAAGTTATGAGATTTGGCAAGCTTGGGCCTTTCCCTTTGAGTTAACCTTTCTCTTAGTCTAGTTTGGGCATTTAGGACCATGCATGTACGTAAAGTTTGCAACTTTACATGGAAACCATGTCCTAGGAGGTTGGATCTGCAATATGGAGCCTTGGGGTGGCTTAAAAACATCTGTATAAGAAATGGACTACATGAACCCGACGAGTCGCTTGGCCGACTCGGCGAGTCGGATGAAGGTTGCCCGTGTCTGATTCTGCATGAACTCGGCGAGTCGGTAAGAGGACTCGACGAGTCAATTAGGGTTTTCCCGACATCTGGACACACATGGACTCGGCGAGTTGGTTGGAAACTCGGCGAGTCAGTTAGGTTTTTATGACTTCTTAAGTTCTTGAGGAACTCGACGAGTTGCTAGCCGCACTCGACGAGTCGGGTCAGCATGGGCCGTTGACTTTGACCTTTGGCTTTGACTTTGACCAATGGTTATACATGAACTCGGCGAGTCGGTAAGAGGACTCGACGAGTCAATTAGGGTTTTCCCCAACATCTGGACACGCATGGACTCGGTGAGTTGGTTGGAAACTCGGCGAGTCAGTTAGGGTTTTATGACTTCCTGAGTTCTTGAGGAACTCGACGAAGTTCCTAGTCGCACTCGACGAGTCGGGTCAACATGGGCCGTTGACTTTGACCTTTGACTTTGAGTTTAACCAAGGGTTGACCAATTGGACTTTCGAGGGTATTTTGGTAAATTGGGAATTTATGGAGTGGAATCATTGGTGGATATAGGTGTTGGACTTGGAGCTGCATTTGGTGGAGTTTGACTTTATCACTTCGAGCTACTTGTGAGGTGAGTTATCCTCACTATACTAAGGGGTCTAAGGCACCAAGGCCAGTCCATTGGATTTGATATCCTACTAGTTGTTGATATGTCGAGTATGAGTTAGTATTGCATGCTAGTTGTTATGATAGTCTGAGAGTGGTTATGCATGCTAGTTGTTGTAATAGTTTGATAGATCTGTAGGACTACCTGTGATATGGGCTGATTATCTGTATGCATAGTTAGTATTATATGTCGACATGTTATGTGGGTAGGGTTGAGGTTGCACTGCTCCGTACGGCGACCAACAAACCCTGGAGTATGTCAGATATGAGCTGAGGGCCAGGGAGAGCATGCCAGACTCATACTGAGGACTCCTAAGCATTCCAGATGCGAGCTGAGGGCCAGGAGAGCATACCAGACTCGCACTGAGGGCTAATCATTTAGTTACAGTCTAAGGACTGAGGGAGCAAGCCAGATATGAGTTGTGGGCCTATAGGGCAAGCCATACTCATACTGTGGGCTCAGGGGTAATCCAGTTTGTAGAGCTGTGGACCCATTACATGCTGTTATTATGTGTGCTATCTGTTATGTATCGGTATTTTGGGGGAACTCACTAAGCTTCGGGCTTACAGTTTTAGTTTTGGTTTCAGGTACATCAGATGAGTGCGGGAAGACGAAGACGTGATCGTACAGCTCCTCACATTTTATGATTTTGATTTTTGGGATACTCTGACATTATACTATTTTGAAAACAAGTTTTGTAATAATCAGTGGTTTTGAAATGTTTTAAAAAGTTTAAATTTGGCATGATTTTTATGGACGTTACACCGCGGTTAACCAGATTTACTCTAGTAGGCAACCGATCAAGTATAACCCTTCACCCAAGGATATTCACCTTCATTGGGACAAACCGGCCTCATCTAGTGGTGTCATTCCCTATCTCTAATAGGTAATCATCAATAAACTCACAAGGATCCTTCACAGTAAACACCCTTGAGCTTTACAAGTCCCAAATTGAACATGTGATTAGAGGTGTTCTAATTCCTATAATTCCTAAGAATTATACTCCCACATATCTTTACTTGACCAGTCTTTATATGTTTCCAAGTAGAAAAGTTTTGGAATCTAATCTTAAACAGGGCACTTCCAATCCAAACTTCACTCTAGAATCTCGTATTTTCACAATTTCTCACATGTTCTGAAGATTAGAACAAAGAAGAATGTCTTTCCCCTATAAAAGATTTATAAGTTGTAAACTTATAACAATCTAATTTTTTAGTAGTACTTCAGATCATAATAACATTTGTGTCCATTTCTTTTTTTTTGTATCTAACAGACCAGTTATACTAGTTAAATCCTAACTAAAATTAAATAGAAGCAATATAAATCGTATCGTTTAAGAGCATAAAATATGAGAATGATAGAATCATAAAACCACATAAATATGTGTTTTCAAAGTGATATGATAACCTAATGAAATAAATTCAATATAATTAGTTGATCAAAATTAGGGATAAAATTTAATTTTATGTATATATTTATAATCTGTAATTGATATTTCAAATCATATAAATTTCATATAGATAGTTAATAAATCAGAATCATATAAAATATAAAATAAATCATAAGGTTAATATCATTAAAACTTAATAGGGACGAGCAAAGGAACCGACTCGGCTGGAATCGGCCTGAACCGGACCCGGCCCGGGAACCGAAGTCGGCCGAAATAAAGAACCGAACCAGACCTCCGGTTCTACCGGGTCCGGTTCCTAGCGGTTCTTGTCGTGTCTTCAATGTTGGAACCGATCATCGAGAAATAGCAACATACGGTTTCGGTTTTAGCCGGTTCTACCGGTTTTCGCCGGTTCTACCGGTTCCCGGTTCCAAAAATCCACAAGAATATCGTCCCGGTCCCGGCCCGACCGGTTCCATCGGGTTCCAGTTCCGGTACCGGTTCCGGCCGGTTCCCCGGTCCAAATGCTCATCCCTAAAATTTAATAAATAGTATTAAAAAGTCCTTAGACAATTTTATGTATATCAGTCACAGATACCAGGGAGGTTGCAGTGAGTGGCTTATGTGAACATCTAATGCCACATCAAATTATATGTGACACCGACATAAAACATGAAGTAACCTGCTAACCTGGAAAAAAAAACCTACCATTCCCTTTATTAAGATGTCATTTCATTGTTTATTTCCTTATAAAACACCAAAATTTGATTTAGGACCATTTAAAATCAAAAGCAACGGTTTAGCTGATTTTAATGGCAATGTTAATCTATTTGGGCTACTTAAAAGCCCATTCAATCGTATAGTTGGGCCTAATTATAGCCCGTTACCAGTTTTGTGGTTAAGTCCGATAACACAGTGAGTCAATGACACAAACGCTCCGACTCCGACACATCAATGGTGTTGCAATTGTCGAAGCTCCCATTATTTCGCCGTTGCGGGTGGCTTAGCTCCAGCAATGGAGTCTTCTTCACATCCGAACATCAAAACTTCTCTCAGCTCCCAGGTACTTCTGCGTAATATCCATTTCTTCGTTTCTTATTATTCGATTCCTCGCGTTCATCTGTATCCAGTATTTCATGTATAAATCTGATAAAAATTGAGTTAAATTCTTTAAATTTTTTGTGGATATCATCAGCTTATTAGTAATTGTAGAATTTCTCGTGGAGTTAAATGATTTTGATGTATTCTAACGCCCTTTTATGTAGAAAAGGAAGTATTCAACTATTAATTATAATTTCTGATGTCCAGTATTTACCTGTTGTTTTGTTAAGTGTTCATAGTAGTTTATGAGTTAGTTACTTAATGTTCCACAAAACTATAGCGATCAAGCACATTTGGGTACTATTTTTTTTCTGCCAATAAGGAAAATTGAATATTTGTCTTAAGGAAAGAATTACTATTTAGGGCGTGGAATTGGAATCTAGCTCCTTTAGCTCATATTTTGAACTGGTTTCGCTTCAATTTTGATTCCTGGCTATGCAATTATTCTTTCAAGTTTCAAATGATATCAAGAGAAAAGGATTATGCTCTAATGATGAGAGTGATCAGGTAGTTATGATTTATCTTCTACCAGATGTATTCTGACTACTTCTACATTGCAATCCAGTGAGATGGCCCAACACCCACAAAAATTGTCCAGTCAGAAGGTTCGCCACTCTAAAGTCAGGAAAAGTTATACCACCAAAGAAGTGAGCATTTCAATCTCTCTCACCAATTTAGGATCAACCTTGAATTTGATCTATTATTCTCAATTTATGTTTATAGGAAGAAGAGATTGGATGAAGTATGTCTCGAAAGGTTTCAGCAGTACAGTCGAAACTACATTCAATCATGGATCCTACAAGGTTACCCATCTCATAATTGATAATTCAATGTTTTTTATGCCCTAGTTCCTCAAAGCTGACTCTTTGTTCCCCCATGTGTTTGCATTTAAATTTTTTTACTTTAGGCAAGGTAATTGTTGATGGGCGAGTTGTAACTAAATCTGGACACCCTGTTTCTGATAAATCCGTTGTGGAAATCAAGGCTGAAATCCCGAAATATGTATGTAGGTGATTATTCTCCCAATTAGTTTACTTTGTATATGAAATGAATCTGGTTTCATGTTCATTGCTCAGTTTGTTAACTTGATGTTTACTTTAGAGCAGGACATAAATTAGAAGCTGCCATTGAACAGCTAGGAATCGATGTTACTGGTAAAGTGGCTCTTGACTCGGGGCTATCAACTGGAGGGTTTACTGATTGCTTGCTTCAGTATGGTGCTTCTTTTGTTTATGGTGTTGATGTAGGATATGGACAGGTAAATGTTATATATATATATATATATATATATATATATATATATATATATATATATATATAAAATCAGAAAACACAAAATGATCAATTTATGGTTTAAATTCATACTAATTTTTTGTATAGGTGGCGGATAAAATTCGTCGAGATGAACGTGTCTCGGTTATCGAAAGGACAAACTTGAGATATCTTACTGAACTTCCTCAGAAAGTTGACTTGGTGACTTTGGATCTTTCATTCATTTCTATACTTGTGGTGAGAGCATTAACTTAAAGCCCTTGTGTAGTGTTTGGTATTTTATTCCATCCAACAAAACAGACCCATCATAGACATAAAGTTTATTCATTTCAATGATTTGTGGAACAACTTCTTTTGTAGGTCATGCCTGCTGTTATTAGCCTGATGAAAGAAGAAGCTACTTTAGTTACACTAATCAAACCTCAATTTGAGGCTCGTAGATCACAAGTATGAAAAAGCCAAATTCTTTTTCCTTTCATGTTCCTTTTTGTAGGTTAAATATAAGAAAATCCTCACATTTCAATTATCCGTACAGGTGGGAGGAGGTGGAATTGTGAGAGATCCCTTGGTTCATCAAGAGGTATACAAGTCAAATCAATCTTCATAATTGTTAAAGACAAATCAATCTTCATAATTGCTTGATAATTATAGGTGCGTGAAAAGATAGTGAAGGGTGTGGAAGATCTAGGATTCCAATGCAATGGCTGGATAGAGTCTCCATTAAAGGGTGCTGAAGGAAACATAGAATTCCTGGCTTGTTTTAGCAGAACAACCGTTGACTCACCAGTTAAAGTAGAGTAGATTATTAGAACAACTAAAGTTTTGGGAACAGATGTTATAAAAGTATCCAATGTTAACGACAGTATGAAATGAAATGTTTAACTAATTTAGCTTTTTAGCATTTCAAGTGGTAATTTTAGACCAAACACTTGGCCTACCACTGTAAACCATGATACCAAGTATCTGTCTGTTGAATTATGAGCATGATCAGCAAGAAGTAGCTTCATCCACTCGCTTGTCCCACATGGATGTAACATGTACCATGGTCTATTCAAGTATGGGTGCTCCTATATTTTAAGAAAAATGAACATCCATAAATCAACATATCTCTATGTTGAATATTTATTTAAAAGACTTGATGAAAATTGAAAACAATAACTTACTTGTTGAGTTATGAAAGTCCATTTTGATTCCATCAGCACATCGCTCGATTTGCTTGGTAGGTTCTTTTCGATTTCACCTATGTTCAGAGGTTGTCCATCTACAAACTCCATAATCAATGCATCAGTTATCAGTGCATGTAATGAAACATATCACATCTGAGTTCCATGCATGAAGGTAATGATCAGCTAGCTTACCACTAGTTTGTGCATGGAAGTATAACACTGGAACCCTATAGGAAGAACTGTAAACCACATGGAAATCATACCGATCTCCGTTGTCACTATCAATGGTGCTTTGTACCTTGCAAATTCATACAAATTCATCGACCATTAGTATTATCCTCTTGATCTCATGGAAATTGCAACATTTTGATTTTTTATAACAAATAACTAATGACGGACGTTCCTAAAACTCTATGCAATGTTACAATTTGCATGGTATGGTTCAAGTAAGCTGAAATCAAGTCAGAATGGAAATGTCACAAACATAAACATAAACATACCAAAGTGGCAGTATCAAAAGGTTCTTCTTGATCATTAGAACTGCCTTTATCATGCTCTTCCTGCATAAAAAATGGGACATCAGATAACATGTTTCACATCTTTGTATGATGATTTTGTGTTGCAGTATGAGTACAAAGCTAGACCTCCATGGATCTCGGAAAGATTACTTTCTGTAAAGACAAATATCCTTCAGTAACTCCGTGAGTTGCAAACCCTAATCTGTTTGAGCAATCAATCCATGACCATTCAGGAAAACCAGAATTGAACTTGTTCCACTTTTGAGCAAAAGCATTAGCAGCATTTTGGAAATCAGTTGATGAGAGGCTTCCATCGCAAGTTGCCTGGTCGGAAGCCATCACAGCATGAGGAAATCGTCACTGATATCAGGTAGTATGCGAAGTTTTCATAGATATAACTTCTTCATCAACGCCTATTTACTGAAAAACCTAATGGGAAATTACAATATTATCCAACAGGACGAGGAGGATGATCGATCAATTGAATATGGAGAAATCGTAGGCAGAAGGAGGAGTTGCAGAACCGGGCTTTCCTTCTGGAAAAAACTCAACAACAGGGTGGTGTTAGTGATGAACCGGGCAAAGAAGATGAAAGTGCATTTGGGCGGATTTTTTGACCCGAATGACCTGACCCGTTCAGTGATAATCAATTTTTTTAAGGGAGAATTTCATATATACCATTCCTAAAGAGCTAAATATCGTATTTGCCATTCCTAATGTTTTTTAATATCATATATACTCAAATCTATTTTTTTGGTAATTTTTATTGATTTATAATTGTTTTTCATAATATTAAATCATTATAATTAAAATACAATTTGAATGGACAATATTGCCCCTGCTTGCTACAGCCTAACAGATCAAGTTTTCTCCCCATCGCGATCGAGCCTTCCTGCCTGATACTTCCGATCGCTGCCTACAATCGCAGCTTCCAATCAGTCGCTGCTTCTGATCGTGCCCCTGTTGTCGCACACACACAAACACACATCAGGTAAGTAATATGCGATTCCATTCCCTTTCCTTAATTTCGATTATGTTGTTGTTGTTTGATTGTTCAACAAGAACTCAAAAGGACTATCATATTCTAAACCTATTGTAGTTCCAATCTTAGCTTTCTGTTATTGCATCACGTTCACGCATCATATTCTAAACCTGGTTCTTCTTCAAAAGTTGTAGCTTTATAGTCCTCCTGTCATGTGTTATAACACGCATATATACATTAGCCGACAAGGATTACCCAATCTTTCTAGAAAAGATTTCATTGACTTTTGAGTAAATCTTTGTTTTCTCATGTGAAGGTTGAAGTATAATCTAAATGTTCATTGACTAGGATTGCCCAATCTTTCTAGGATTACCTTGATTGTAGCTCAAATCCAACATAACTAATCTATTAAATACAACATTACTATGTTAATTGTAAAAAGAATTTGAAAAATTGAAACTAGGAACCCTAAAAAAGGAATTCGCATTACAAATGATTGAATATTGTGCCTACAGATGAATACTTAGATCCAGTATGCAGTGTGTGGGTGGAACATAGCTCCAAAATTCAATGTTGAACAGAGGGAGAAGGCGAAGTAATCCCACAAATTTGGTGAATGGTGAGCCTGCGTAGTTTATTTCCAAGGGGTAATTTAGTCACGTGAGTGTGTGTGACACCGGGGAAGCAGCGATCGGAAGTGCGATCGGAAGTATCAGGGAGCAGCAGGCTCAATCGTGATTAACTTCAAACATATGATGCGTGAACGTGATGCAATAACAATCAAACAACAACACCATAATCGAAATTAAGGAAAGGGAACTTACCTGATGTGTGTTTGTGTGTGTGCGACAACAGGGGCACGATCAGAAGCAGCGACTGATTGGAAGCTTCGATTGTAGGCAGCGATCGGAAGTATCAGGCAGGAAGGCTCGATCGTGATGGGAGAAAACGTGATCTGTTAGGCTATAGCAAGCAGGGGCAATATTGTCCATTCAAATTTTATTTTAATTATAATGATTTAATATTAAGAAAAACAATTATAAATCAATAAAAATTACCAAAAAAACAGATTTGGGTATATATGATATTAAAAAACATTAGGAATGGCAAATACGATATTTGAAGTTTAGGCCGGACAAATACGATATTTAGCTCTTTAGGAATGGTATATACGAAATTCTCTTTTTTTTAATGCAAGAAATATAGCATGAAATCATGAATGTTCTACTTTTCTAAATTATTATATTTTTATCATCTTTTTAATTTTTATATCAAATTTGGTCCTTCACTCTTACTTTATATTCCCTTACATTTTCTTTTTAAAGTTTTGACCCACACTTATAATATCAAATACGAATTTGATCATTTTCTTTTTCAATTTTACAATTTTAACTAAGTTTTTTGTTTTTATTACAATTTTCATTAGCTCATCTCTTATTGCTTTTTACAATTTTAGCTCATTTTTTTAAGTTTTATTATGAATTTCTCCATTTTCCTTTTCCATCTTTTTCTTTTTTATTTTTACAGTTATAGACTAAGGGGCTGTTTGTTTACCTCTTAATTGAAAAATTAAGAGGTAACCTCTTAAAAATTCAGATATGCTATGTTTGATAGCCTCTTATAAAATGTCTCTTAATTTGATAAATGCCTCTTAAAAAATCAGACATACAGCCGCATCTGAAAAAGAAAAAAAGACTTACGTGCCCTGATAAAACACGCATCCCCTTTTCTTCCATATGCACGCCTCATTTTCTTCTTGAAGCGATCTTCTTTCTCCCCGACAAACATCATCGGTGTTGCTTCTTCCTCCTCTCCAACCGTCGGTCTGTCGCCTCCTTCTTCCCCTCGCACTCCAACCGTCGCCGTCTGCTCCTTCCTCATCGTCGTCGTCGGTCAAGGCAACTAAGGTACATCGAACCCCACCTTCGGCCACTCCAATGCCTTCCTCCGCCACTCCAGAGCTTTCCTCCGCCATCACTGTCACTCCAACACCATCCTCCATCCACGCCGCCGGTAAGCTTTTCTTCTCCGAATTTGAAATCGATTTCCATGGAGTCTTAAAACTGAATTCCAAATAGCCCTTATAATGTTTTAATGTTGAAATCGTTATCATCTTTATGGTTTTGTTAATTTGATATTTGTATGAAATCAATTTCCATGTTTATTTTACTTGCATATGAACCATTCGATGAAATGTCTCAATGAAATTGTTTCAATTTCTAATTGATTTAAATTTCTTTGTCTTTAATCTTTTTGCAGAAAAGAAACATTGGATGATAAAAACTGTTTTTATCAATTGTTTGGTTGATATAGGCTATTGATAATGACCAAGGATTCCATATGGATGATATCAAGAAGGGTGATAATGGATCAGTTTTTACTGTGATAAAAACTGTTTGTATCATTTGTTTGTATGAAATCCCAATGTTTTTTTATTGATTTCTTTATTATAGCATCATACAGCTGATTACACCATTGTATTTTGAAAAAACTATTTAGTTATAGCAATATCATCCAAAAACAATGCAATTTTGATTGATATAGTTGGGTAGATTTGTCAAATATTTATGTTTGGTTTGTTTTTTTTTAATTTTTGAGTTATGTTTAATTTTGGATTTTGTATGGTGTTTTTATAATTCTGCAAAAAATAATACAGAAGGGTAAAATGGTCATTTTTATAATTCAGCACAACAATTCAGAGGTTCCAACCAAACAGCATGTTAAAAAATTAAGATCTTAAAAGTTCAGACCCTCTTAGAAATTCAGATCTCTTAAAAATTCAGAACTTAAAAATTCAGATGCTACCAAACAGCCTCTAAGATCATCGAGTTGAATAAGGGTTTAATAGAATTAAATTGAATATAATATAGAGGGGGGGGGGGGAGCGGGGGATAAACTATTTCAATGCAAAATACTATATATATATATATATATATATATATATATATATATATATATATATATATATATATATATATATATATTCTTCCTAATCGGCACTTCACTCTTCATTCAACATTCATTGTGAATCCTCTTATAGTCTTTCTTTTATTAAGATTTTGGTTTCTCTCTTTTCAATTTTCTAAAATTTTCAGTTTATATATTTTTTAAAAGTTAGTTTTTTTTTTTTAGAAAATTAGCTTTCTACAACATTATTTTACATGATTTTTTTTATAGAATTAGTTTTTTTTAGAGAACATTTTTTTTCCAAAAAAAAAAAAATTGTTTTATATATGTTTATAAGTTATTTTAAATTAATTGCCTATTTTTACAAAAATTCTTTTTATATTTTTTATAATTATATTTATTTTTTAAATTGTTTTCATAAGAGTAGTTTCTTTACACAATTACTTTTTACAAAGATTTTAAATCTGTGTTTTTATGAATTTATTTTGAAATTTTTGTTTAAAGTCACAAGGAATTAGATTATTTTATGTCTTTATATTCGTTTTATGTATTTATAATTGTAAACACTAAACAAATTTACAAACTTTGTTTCATAAGAAATTGTTTTTTATTAATATTTTTAATCTTTGTTTTATATATGGGGTTTTAAAATTTCTCCAATCTTGTAAATTAAATATTGAGTTAATTGTCTTTTTTTTTGAACGACAACGTATCATTAAAATGAGAAAAACTAGCAAGATGCTAGAAAACAAAACAGATTACAAGAACGCGTTTAACATCCCATGGCTAATCCAACTTGACCAACTAATAAAGAAAAATTTACACATGTCCTTAATCCAATTGTACGTGATGACTTGAACATCATCTGTCATTTTCGCCATTTTCATAAGGGCAATCACCGCTTTCTTAAACAATTTCTAGTTTCTAGTTCTCCAAATTAGCCACAACATAGCATAAACTAGCACATATCTCATAAGACAACATCTCTTGTTTTGACTTGGGAAAACTACAACAATTACTTTATATATATATATATATATATATATATATATATATATATATATATATATATTTACAATTTTGTTTTTTTTTTCAGAAAAATACGCTCAAAAACTTTGAAACAACAATGTGCGACAAATTACAGTATGATATAAAAATACCGAATTGTCCCTATCATAATAAGATAGAAAGACCAATTTACCCGTAATGATGTTCAAATACAAATATAAAAGACCTAAACAGCCAGCTTCATCGTTAATCAAGGGTTCCTGTTGCAACAAACGAACTCGTAGTTCTTTTATTAAGCATCTCATGCCATTCATTAATATTCATGATAATCATAAAAATACCACATCATATTTTAGAATAAACATATGAGAATTTTTTTTGCCATTTATTGAAATGACCATTGAGTTCGAAATAAAGGCACTGCAATTCTAGGACACCATATCAAGTTGGTTTCCTTTCTATTTGAACATTCCTCTCTAAAAAATAAATAAAATAAAATAACCTCTCGCAAGCCTTACCCAAAAAATGCTCACATTCACCGATTTTCCTTGAAATGGCAGTGAGACCTGATGACCCGATTATGTCGTGACCATGTTGACTAAGGGCCTGTTTGATTTGGTGCTGACCAGGTCCGGTCAGACATTTTTCTCTGACTCGGTCCGGTCAGAGTGTTTGATATGCATCTGACTCGGCCGGTACATCTGACTCGGTCCATAAAACTTGCTTACTCGGTCCACCAAAATGTTAACCCTGACTAAGACTGGAAC